AAAAAAAAAAAAAAAAAAACCAGTGCACCCAGGTCATCTGAGCCCAAAGGCCAAGAGACAGAGCATCCCACCTGACACACCTGCCCAGCAGCCCTCCCATGTCTCCAGGGACCTACATGGCCTTCCCTTCTCCCAACCTCTGCCCTCCAGCTGTCTGGCTCTGCAGCCTGCTGATGTGGTCCCTGCCTGGCCATAATGGGGTCCCCACAGAGACTCAGTGCCTCAAAAATAGGCTTCTGGAGCTTCCTGACTAGCAACATGACCATTTTGAACTCACAGGGTCTAGCTTGGTGCCACATATTTTGTCGCGTAACAAAATACCTAAACTTAAAAAAAAAAAAAGGTACCGGAGACCAGGAAATTTACGAAGAAGTTTGCTCGGCTCCTGGTTCTGGAGTCTGGGGCGTCCAGGAGCCTGGCGCTGGCCCCTCCCAACCCCTTCTGATGGCTCCACAACGCAGCAGATGACGTGACCAGCTGACAGCAAGTGTGAGTTCGGGGCTGTCTTCCTCCTTACGAATCCCCACCCTCAACTACAGTCAACGAGCAAATCCGGGGAGTAAGTCTCCATGACGTGGGCTTTGGGACACGCAGAAGCCATAGCATGTGGGAAGCACTTACTCATGGAGTCTCCAGAAGCCGCGGGGAGTAGATCTGCAGAAAGAAATGCTGTACAGCAGCGGCGCATTTTGAGACATTTGGGAGATGTCCTGCTGCTTCTGAAATCCAGCTCACTGGGCAGCTGCCCATGCCACGCCCAGCTTACCCACTTGCTGCTAAGCTGGCTTTGCACCCAGGGGCTGGCCATAGTTAATGTACCAACCCAGCCTGAGTCCACCCCTGCCTGCAAATCACAGGCCAACCCAGGGTGCTGCACCCCAGCCCTGCTTCACCCTCATCTCAGGCAGCAGAGCCAGAGGGTACTGGCTGCATAGGGTGTTCAAGGTCAGCCTGAACTATGTAATGAGGCCCGCCCTCAAAAAAAAGTAATGAAAAATATAAAGTACCTATATGCTTGCTTTCCCAAAAAGAAACATTGGGAAGATAAATAACAAATTAAATTTGTTAAAAGAAGAAATGAGGGGCCGGGGAGATGGTTCAGTGGAATAAGCGCTTCCCTGGCAAGCGCAAGGGTCTGAGTTCAATCCCCGGTTCTGCCAAAAAAAAAGAAAAAAGAAAAAGAAGAAATGAAGGGCTGGTGAGATGGTTCAGTGGTCTAAGGCACCTACATAGAACAAGCTTAGCAAAGCACAGGGACCGCGGTTCAATCCCCCAGCACCACATGCCAGCCAGCCCC